GTAGGTACTTGCGGGTCGGGCAGCATCTTCATTTCCACCTATTGCAGTGTGGCTAGGAGCCCGGCAGGGCTCAATAGTTTTTAACGCGTTGATTATTTTCTAGCGGAGTTGGGTAACCAAAGGGTGCTTTCATGTTGTTTTTTTATGTACGAATGGTGAAAGTGATGCGAGGTAACAGAAGGAATAAACGCGTTGTCAATGCATGACACAAGCACACCTAAGGAAAAATAAAATAAAAAAAATGTGGTTGTGACGTTTCTTACATAACATAGAAAGAATAAAACACAGAGGACAAGCACAGGACAACCACTTTCTTTGTGTTTTATTCTTTCAATTTTAGGTATTCATGTTCAACCCGCTCGGCTTCACCAGACGTTTCTTATTTTTGTATTATTTTTCGTGCTTTTATTATCTTACCTCAACGAACCCGTTCACCAGTTCACAACGTAATGCTATGGAGGTCATGCAAGGAAAGCGCTACATCGCAGTGTCTCTGACATAAAGTCTTAAAAAATGGGGTCTCAAGGTGCCATCCTGAAAAAGACCTTAATTGAAACACCCGGGTGTCAATACGCATTGGTTAGAGAAAAAAAATGTTTTGCACGCAGCACCGAGGTTTATTCCTCACTTTTCCTCTTGGCGGCCACGTGCCGCGGCTTCGTTCCACCAGGTTTCGAGACCTCAATCAGTTCAGGGCCAGAGAGATCCTGTTGCCAAATTATCCTACATAAACAGCCTAATCCGTGAATGAACATCTTTATTTTGATTTCTTACATTCTTTGTGCGAACCGAACTAACATTTTCCTTGTTTAGCATATCGAATTTCAACGTCTTTCCTTTTCCGTAAAGATCATGAGTATGTCCGAGTGTTAACAATTATATCGAATGTGTAAATTATTTGACCTTTATGGTAACACATTTTCATATGCACATTTCTCTTGTAGCCACCGGGTTCAAACGTATTCCATTTCGCCGATCAACGATGCACTGGCATCACTTAGTGGATATCTTTTATTGGAGCTCTTCTTCTGATGTTGCAGTCCATGCAGTTTTGACGTATAATGAAAGGGAAAATCGACTAACATACTAAAATATTTTACGCAATTAGGCTATTTAATAAACATTTTTTCTATGCTATAAGACAAAATGTATTAACCGTAAATGTTTACTTCTCCAAAATGTTGCCGGTCAGCCATTATGATAACGAAATCATGATTGAATTAACGTAAAAAAGAAACTAAAAAAACGTGCGCACAATTTTTATACTCATTAACACACTTCTAGATAAAACATACCGATCACATAAAAATTGATGTTAAAGAGTCGTGATCATCACATACTTTGTTGCTGAAGAAGATTACAGCCTGCATATTACAAACGTTGCGAAACGTTTCGTACGAGGACGGACCTCCGAAAGGTCCACGGTATCAAGCTTGAGTGGAGACACGCACACTGCTGTATAGTACTCCGGAGTTCCTGACAGCGCATTGACGTGCTACGAGAAGCACCCCGCCCCCCCCCCCCCCCCCCCCCACCCCCGCCTTTTTTCAATTAAAAATGTTCTACTAAATAAAGAGACTCTCTTATCTTGGTGTCACATATTGGGATAGGACTAAATATGCCGTCTCATAACTACATATAGTTACTTTGAAATAAATATAAAATTAAAATTTTTAGATCGATACGCTGCTTAGTAACTCCCACTGAGCAGAACTTGATCAGTTAAGGGGCACTGTCACATCAGGCGTCTTCTTTGCTGTTGAAGCGTTCCATCTAGGTTTTTATTTTTAAAAAGTGAATTAACAAAGTAAACAAAAAATCGCATACATTCAGCTTCTAACAGCATTAGACGAAGCAAAAAAAAAACAGGAAAAACAACATGCACCCAACTTTAACAAAAGAAAATAAAAGCAAATATACAGGAAGAAAAAAAATGAAAGCCATCTACAATTCCCTGTAACGCCGAATTAGAGCGCAGCTCTTGAGGAGGAGGAGCCAAGGCCACAAAAGTCACGTGACCCCCCCTGAGGTCACGTGACCTTGGTGGGGTCACGTCACCCCCAAAGTCACGGAAACCCCTCCCAAAATCACGTGGGGGTGACGTGACCTCGGGGGGGGGGGGGGGGGGGTCACGTGACCTGGGGGTGTCACGTGTGGGTTCTCGTCAGCCCCCTCTGACTGACAACCGGACGTCGGCGCGCGAGGCGGAGAACGGGCCACGACGGACGTTCGCGGTGGTGGCGACCGCGACGCCGGCTCGGGCGACGGCCCGGTGACATGGTCCGGATTTAGACCCCGGATTCGACCCTCGACGGCGACGTCCACAGGATGCGGTGTAAACGAGCACCGCACGGACGATCGGCATGCAGCATACAGTGGCGGCGCACCCCCTCCAGGCTTCCTCGATCACCTATCCCGATCCCGAAATCCCCCAGCAGAATGTGAGGGGCATAAACGCCTTCTGCCGAGAGCTATGTGTTTGCTGCGTCCCGTTCATCCGGAGACAGGGGCCCGGGGAATCGGACGAGAACCCGACACACGTGACCCCCCAGGTCACGTGACCCCCAGAGACATTTTTCTGCTGGATGTAGCAGTGAAACTTTTCCGCCAGATTTGGCGGGAAACTTTTTCCGTTAAATTTAGTGGGGAAAGTTTTCCGCTAGATTTAGCGGGGAAATTTTTCCACCAGATTTAGCGGGGAAATTTTTTCCGCTAGATTTAACGGGGAAATTTTTTCCACTAGATTCACCGGGAAACATTTTCCGCTAGATTTTGCGGGGATATTTTTCCGCTAAACTTAGCGGGAAAATTTTTCCGTTATACTTAGCGGGGAAATTTGTTTGCTTAATTTAGCGGGGAAATTTTTCCGCTAGATTTAGCGGGAAACTTTTTCTACTAGATTTAGCGGGGAAATTGTTTGGCTAGATTTAGCGGGGAAATTTACCCATAATGCACCGCGCGGTTACGCCGACGGCGACGGCGACGCCGCTCAAGCCGGAAACGGGCGCCTAGGTGCTGCGCTCTAAAAATAAGATGGCACTATATAAACCCCACGGAAGAGGCTGAAACTAAATTTTGATTACTTTATATTTTATTATTAGATTTGTCATCAAAAGAAGAAAAAACAGTACATGTGGCCTTTACTTACGCAGTGGAAGCAATAAACGACGCAGCCATATTTTATTCGAAACACAAAATGTAGACTTCTAGAAACAAGATATTGCGCTCTTACTGATGATCAGCTGCGCGTCGACGGCATGACGTGGATGTCGAGCAGCGCTCCTAGGCTGACGCACTGAAACGGCCGGCTCAGTCACACGTGGAGTTTCAAAACAGAAGGTAAGTTGCACTTTTTTTTTAGGTGTAGGGGTCACGTGACCTCGCGGAACCTCGGGGAGTCACGTGACCTCGGGGGTCATGTGACCCCTACCCCCGAGGTCCTCCCGAAGTCACCGAAGGTACCCGAGGTCCTCCCGAGGTCCTAAGGAAGGAACCCGAGGTCTTGCCGAGGTCCTCCCGAAGGAACCTGAGGTCCTCCCGAGGTTCTCCCGAGGTCCTCCCGATGGAACCCGAGGTCCTCCCGAGGTCCTCCGAGGTCCTTTCGAAGGAACCCGAGGTCCTCCAGAAGGTACCCGAGGTCCTTCGGGAGGACCTCGGGTTTCTTCGGGAAAATTTACCTGTAATGCACCGCGCGGTTACCGGCCGACGGCGACGCCCACGCCGCTCAAGCCCGAAACGGGTGCCTAAGAGCTGCGCTCTAAAAAAAGAGTGTGGAATATATGTCCGGTGTTTTTGGGGACTGTAAGTCGACACCTCGCACAATTTCGCATTAAACGTAACCGTCCATAAAAAGTATGAATTTTTTTATTAAAATAAGATAAAATAAAATGAACGCACCTTCTACACTGCCTTATAAATCTTTCTCTGCCTATCACCGCAGGGAGGAATTAACTTTTTTTTTTGTGTGTGTAGGGAGTCTCGCACTCTTTCGAGAAAACTTTCCAATGAATCATCCTTTAGAAAATTAACATAATCAATCTTCAAACAAATCCTGTTTAGCCTCCGCGTCACTATCTCCCGTTCAATTCGCTCAAAGTGATCGGTGGTCGAGTGTGTGAATGCCCTGCATCTCGGAGCACGTGGAACGGAAAATTGAGTTGCAAAACCCGGTGATCCTAAGTTCAATTCTCGCTTCATGCAGCTCGTTTTGATCTGGATGAGCATCGTACCGGCGTGCGGTCGTATGTTACTACTGCTTGACGTACGCATTCAGCATTCAGTCGTACCGCACCAGCTAAATATCTCACCCTCAGCGTAAACCAGTGCCGGCATATTTCAGAGGCTGACGGACCTTAAGCGCCGTTCACACTCTTGCAACCGAGTAAGACCGAGAGAGTCAAGAACGGTTTTTAAGCCTTTTGCGACGGCTTAGGACCGTCTCCACAGCAGCGTATCTGGTCCTACGCCGTCGCAAGAAGCTTAAAAATTGGTCTTGCCTCTCTCGGTCGTACTCGGCTGCACGTGTGTAAACGGACCTTTATGCTGTAAAAATAGTAACGCAATTTTTTAAACTGAGATGAACGATTAACTATAGACGCAGCTTAGCACAGCTGATAAAGACACAATCGTGCCAAAAGAAGAACTTACAAATATGTCAACGTATATTGGAATATTTATTTCATTCTTATTTACATAAATCGCGATTAGCTGTTTACTCAATAACTCACGCCCACATATCGACGAAATCGTCGAAATCGTCGGAAGGAAGTCCTCGCTGTTGGAACGACGCAGCTACAGTTGTTTTACGCTCGCAAAGTTTTATCACGTAAAAAAAAAAAAATATATATATTTTTTTTTGTTCTTTGCGTTACAAACACGAATTGTAGAAATCAGAACAAAAAAAAAAAAGCATTGTCATCTTGATATTCTCGTTTGACGAACTGGGAGACTGTGAAGCTCACGCGTTCGACCAACACCTTGCTGTGGTCTCCGTCTTCTCTTCACAGAGTTCGCTTCCTTCGTTCGAGTATCACGTCCAGATCTTGAGATGACCTCAGAACAATTCCCATCTCCAGCTGAAGTTCGCTCTCTGGGTGTTTCGATTTAATCTTAAAGCGCCTCATTACCTGAGCGACCAGCACCTTGGCTTTGAGCACCGCGAACCGCTGACCTGTAAATAAAACCAAATGTGCGCAAGCTTTATTTAAACATTGTAAAGCATAATGATAAATCTGTGAATGCATACTCAAATAGCTCTTTGATTCAATTCAATTCAATTCAATTTTTATTTCAAACAGGTCAATCAAAATAAAGACCTGGCTCACAAAAGCAACATTCTGCTTGTATGTGGGGCCCTGCGACCAAATGAAATACCATGTTGTTAACAAAAAAACAATCCGCGGCACGAAAGAAAAAAAGGAAAGAGAATACTGCGTAACAATGAAAAAAGCACAAAATTAGCACGAAAAAAAAAAAAAACGAGCACATTAGCGCATGAAACATAGGCAATCATAGCCAAGTGTACTCGTGCAACATTGAAACAAAAGTACGACATTTTTACAACGGTCAGGCTGTGATATCTACAACTCAGATGTTTGACACCAATTTTTTAGTTTTCTTTGCAATACCCCAGTGGATGTTACATTCATAAGGAGCTCTGAAAGGTCGTTAAATAAAGAAGGAACGTAATGATTTCTATATTTATTTCCATACAGTGTGTATATTTTTGGAATGACATACCTTTCAGTTCGTCTCGAATCTCTATTCTTATTTACTGAAGTTTTGTAGGAATTACTGGAATAGTTTTTTGTTATTGTTACGTATAAAAAAAAGTTTTGAAGAACAAAATGCCGAACTCTTTAGCTTTCTCTTGAGTTTCCAATTTTTGATATTAAGTTCCATATGAGATCTTGTTTAGCATCTTGTTGTTTAGCATCTGGCTATTTTCATTAACTGCTTTAGAAATGAAGGGCGTGGTGACACCCAAGCATGCTATTATTGCTTACAAACCACTGATATTGAGGCATGAGCCAATATGAACACTGAAAAACGATTTATAACAAAGAAGATAATAAACAAAAGGCTCTCAAAGGAACAAAACAAAGGGCTCTTTGACTCCCAAACTGAAATATATTAAACAAAGAGAAAGAAGAGGAACCATGCAATATAAACGTAGAAGGCACTGCGAAGTTATGTAAAAAATGTACAGACCAAAATATTGAAATCAAAATCGAGGAAAAAAAAGGAAAAGCGTAGGATACATCACATGCAGTTTAACTGGCGGTCTGGAAGGTTTGTACATTGCTTTGCAATGCTTCGCAGTGCATATTATGTTCGTATCATTTTACTTCGCTGCGTGGGTTTTCTTTTTTCCTTATTTAATATATTTTAGTTTCGAGTCAGCGCATGTTTGCCCTGTGATTCCTTCCTTTTGTCCTGTCTTTTGAAGCACTGTTTTTTTATCGTCTCCAATGATTATTAACGAGTCCGACTTACCACCTTGCTGCACGAAACAAAAAGTGCGTACTTAGAAAGCCACGCCCTGCGGTTCTTAAACTGTCAGTTACTATGAATTGTAAACGAAGAATGGGGTTCTTACATGAGACCATGATGCAAGGCTACTACCGGTTCGTAAATCTCACCGGACCCCGCCAGAATTCATGTTGGAGGAATTCGTCGCGGTTATACTATGTTTTGTATGTTTTGGGGGCGCGTTCATATTGTAGTTTGTTCGCTGCTCGAGGTTTAAACTGGCCAGTTGCGCTTAAATGAATTGTTCCAGCCGTAACATTCGGCGACAAAATGGTGCTACGGCCAGCAGTATTGGCTCTTCTAGAATTCTGGCAATCATTGGGAACCAGGACAAGGCGATGCTCAAACTATCGGTTCGCCGGCGTCATGAAAGGCCCCGACGGATACGCCGACGCCGACACATCTCGAACAGACGGGAGCGGAACGCAGGTCATCATAGAAGCTAATATTTCTGGGCCCGAGAAAAAGCACGAGAGAGAACGTGACAAAAGAGCAGAAAAAGAAAGCAGACGAAGGGTTAGGCCTGTTCGTTTTGCTGCACTATGTTGAAGTTGCCCGATCGGCTGTCAACTTTATTTAATTTTGTCAAAGAGCGATTTCGGTGTTTTTCCGCCAAAGTAAGATAAATTAACAAGGTACAGACTTTACCAGTAATGTTATGCTGCTTTTTTGTGCATACTAAGGCGTCGCTAGCGATATGTCCTCATCGGAGCCGCAAACTGGAACCACCGATATCCGCGTCTCTGCCCTGCCGTTCCGAAGTGGCCAAAGGCATGGGACTTTTCATTCTAAAGTATTATACTAACTCTATTATCTCGACAGAAAAGCATCGTATCGCAACTAAGGGTTTCTGGACTGTACTTCATGTCAGGTGAAAAACCTCTTTGCCACTGCCTTCCGCAAGAAACGGTTCTGAAATATGGTTATACAAAGACGGCTTTATGACTCTATACGGCACTATACTGCTGCCTCAAAAAGAGGCCGAGTGCCTCCAACATGGCACCGAGGCACTGGTAGCAGACGACAATGTTGTTTTCAATTTCGAGTCTAACCCGAAGTGACGTAAGGTGCAAGGAGCCTACTGTTTAAGGGGAACTCCGGTCGAAAACGAAACCAAAATAAGTGGCAGGTGGTATGAAATATGATCATACTCGAAACATTACGCCGAAGTGAAGCCGCGTGCTGCACCAAAACCGATTTTAAACATGAGGCCAGCTGCTTTTTAGCAGATCAAGCTGGTTAGTCTTGAGTCCATCAACACTGGGTGATGCGTATTGCAGCACTTCCCTGACGTCCTGTCGCGGCCGTACAGCTGATGTCAGTGTTGCCGTCCCTCTCACGCAGATAGTTCCGAATTTTTACGTAGACGCCCAAAACCAAACGTTGAACCGCAATATTTATAAAACAACACACATTAAAAAACAGGAAAAAAAACATATACCTCGTAACTCAGGGACACTGACTGAGCTGAAAACGGTCATAATCCCGAATACGAAAATATGGACCGGAATTGGCCCTTTAAATGGAGACTACAACACATTTTAGGCGTTTATCTTTTGGTCTATACGTTTTCAACGGGGCAGTATTACATCGGACTTACCAATATCTAGTTCAAAGAGGCACGAAAGGGAATTTAAAAAAAAAAATTAAACGATTCGCAAATAGCACCAGGTGGATGTTGCTGAAGCCTCGTTTGTAATACCCGCCTAGGAACCTTGACAGGTAGTGGCGATAACTGTATCGCCTAGAGCTATACATGCTTTGATGCTGACGTCACCCCGACTGCTCTACGGCCAGCACAAGAGAAGAGGGGAGGGAGGAACTCCCCACTCAACGAGACCCTGTTTTGTGTGTCCCAGTCGTCGCTATTCTCTACAAGATTACAGAGGATTAACCCGTCACTCAAAATTCACACAAAAGCAGCTTTCTGGTTAGTTGCGGTGGCCCGATCGCTGGCGTGCTTCGACCATACTTGGGTAGTGATTCAATTACAGTAATTAAATTACTGTGATTTAATTACTTTTCCTGGTAATTTGTAATTGTAATAATTACTTTTTGCTAAAAAGAATTGTAATTGTAATTTAATTACTTTCTAGCGTCAGTAATTGCTAAATTTCAGGCACAATTACAATTACTTTTGCAAGATTTTGTGGCGGCGGCGCTTTTCCCCCCTGACCACGGAGACGACAGCACAGCCAAAGCGACAGGGGAGAGAGTGTCTCCCAACCTGCTAAAAAAATGGAAAAGAGGGATGGGAAAGAGAGGCTGGGATAGAACGGAATGAAGGATTTTGTAGACTGTAAAACGATTTAATGAAGAATTTGAAAAATAATTTGATAAATGAGGGCTACATTCGCGTCCGTTTTCGTTCCTGTCATAGTTGAATCTGAATCTTCGTCTCGTTTGCTTCCTGTTGCTCCTGTTTCTAGGGGTCTTTCTTATTTCTCATTCCCACACGGGGGCATCGGAGGTCGAAGTCGAGCTGGTTGGCTCCGATCACATCATCCGGTCGAGGCGGGGAGGTTCGAGGTTCTCCTTACGCGTCTTCGCCGCTAGCATATTCGCTTACATATTTCAGTTAAGTTTTGAACTTTTTTCTTCATGAAATTATTCTCTTTTCTTTATGAGTTTTTCACGTCCTTCTCCTCTATCTCGTATGTTGATACCACTAACAGTAAGTCGTGCTACTCGAACACCGAGGCGAAGAAGCAAAGAAGCAGCAGGTCTCATTAACACGACTCACCCTGCCTTACTTCCAACTGTTGTTGCTACACTGCTCTTCCTTCTCCCAGTCCTCGTCTACCTTTTTGTATAAATCTTCAATATTTAGTGTTCGCTCTACCTAACCCTTTCAACCGTTTGTCAGCCTGATTGGACGAGATTCCAAAACTTACAAACCGCGGCTTTAGCTGTAGGGAGCTTGTTTTTGCATTTGTTGTTCGTTGTAGGCTTCTTTTTTTATAGAGGGCTTGGCTTGCACTTTGTTTTTACACCTCTATCGTGACCCTCCACGCGTTGTCCTCTCGTCTTGGCCTGTGGAACCGTCCCGAGGCGCGCAGTGCTGCTTTGCATTGAGAAGCTGCAACAGTCTTATCTACAATGGAAAAGGAAAGGCTGCCGGGGCCTTGTTGCGAAAAATTCTCTAAACAGATTAGCACCAATGTAAAAAACTATAATCGTGAGGAGCAAACTCTGCGCACCGTATCTGAAAACAAATTCAATAAACCGAAAGGCGACCTCCAATTCGCGGAAACACTTGCAGGTAGGCAACTTCCTTGTTACTTTGAATAATACTTACAGTTAAAAAAAAATAATAATAATAGCTTGTCTATATCTTCCAGCTGAAACACGCTCAAGTAAATCGTGAAATCGAGGCGTCCAAGAGGCCGCAGTTTTGGAATAATTCGCGGATTCTAATTTTCGCGACGCGGTGCGGTTGCGAAATTATTTTCGCGAAATTCGCGAAAATAAAGTCGTTTGCAGTGTATCATGAATTTTTCGAGGTTGTTCTTGCCATGCTAAATTCAAATCGGTCTTCTTTATGAGACGCATAACATCGATACAAACATTGCTATCCTAATGATTAGCTACATGACGATCCTAAATTTATTATTTATCTCAGGAGCTTTTTGGGTGTTACCGTGCACTGAATTAACCCAGAATCCCTGGCAATAGAGTTGCTGCTATTGTGACAATAGTTTTGTGGAAGCGACCACAGTTTGTGTGCTACGGTTACCCACATCCGGCATGTTACAAGTCCACAGACAGGGAGAGGCAGCGAATCATCGAGGCTGAAACGTTTTCGTAAGTTGTCGTATCCTTTAAATGTTTGGCGTCGTTTACAAGTTTCTCTTATTAGCCATTTTTACGTGAGTTTTATGATACCAGTACTGTCGCATATTTGTTTCCTTGTATTATTTTTAAGTTAATTTTTTCTTGGTTTGACTTGGATACCATTTGCATAAGCTCTAAGGAGATTCACCTCGCACCTGTGAATTTTGTCGCCATTTTTTACGTTTTGAGAATATATGAACGCAGGAGTTCATTACTCCAAACTATTAAGTTCTATAATCCATTTAACAAATTTCACAAAAGGAAAGCACAATCCGTGACATTTATACAGCGGCCATATAACTCGTTTACAGTTATATGGCCCAATGTGGGGGGTAACTCTCAGAAATAAGTAATTGTAAAGTAATTGCATTACTTTTAAAAAGTAATTTGTAATTGCAATGAACTACTTTCGCGTAGTAGTAATTGTAATTGTAGTTAAACTACTTTTGGAGCTAAGTAATTGTAATTGTAATTAAATTACATTTTGAAAGTAATTTACCCATGTATGGCTTCGACCGCTTCAGTGGCTGGAACGGCTAGGGCATCCTTCCGACGTTAGCATCGCCGCAGCTTTGCTCATCCCGAGACAGACTACGTCACGATTGCACCGGATGTGACGTGCTCTCCGCTGGCTGCTCTCCGAGCGCTTGCCAGGGTGGGCCGTTTATAACAAAAAATGCAGCCATCAGGCTCAAAATACAAACGTGCGACAATTATTTATGTATATTGTGGATCATATTCGGCCTATTTCTGAACACGACGGTTATATTTCAAATTTCGTTGAAGTATCCCTTTAAGGAATCATACTGACACCATTAAAATCTTTAAAATATAGAACAGCGTAAATAGATTCAGTGAATAAATTAGTTTCACTGTCCGGTTTTGTCTTTTGACGCTAATGTACTTTTATCTTAATGCAGCTTAAGAAACAATTTAATTACTATAGTTAAAAAACGCAAAATATTTATGAGTGTTAGGCATAATGATTGACCTTGGCGTAGAACGTGTTTTTTTTTCGGTCAAACTGTAAAGATATTTATTCGTTACAGATACCCTTAATTGTTTATTTTTATGGTTATCATCTTGTTCAGTTACTTGTTCTCTAGCATTTCTCCGCCCAAGTTAAGCAAACGACAAAGCTGAGAAAGCCTATTCGTTCTTTCACGCTGGGTGATGGGTGGTTGGAAGACCACGACGGTTGTCGCATTTCAACCACTTGCAGTACCATCCAAATCCCGAGAAACGAAGGTCAAGAAAGCTAACGCTACCAAGATGAACACGCGCGCAATTCTATAGGACGTGCAAGCAATGTAGCATATTGAAAACCACAAGACAAAGTGGGATACCATCATCTTTTAATAATTTAAAGACTAAAACACCAAACATACACCGTATATCATTTTAATTCAATCTCAAAACCTACACATGTATATCAGAGAAAATACTTTTAAATGCATATTTTGTAAATAATCTTCTGAGAGGGGTAGCTCGCTCCTAACCTCTCCTTGGTCCGCTCAGCACTTAGAGGCGCTTCATTTCAGACATTCCATTCCAAAAACATTTTTATTGTGATTTCCCACTTTGGACCGCTCGTTAGAAAATGTCCAGACTGCATTTGAAATAGTTTATAACGAGCGTGACGGTGTATAGATACATGAAAGGATAAAACATCGAGGACGGGGGCGGAAACAAAACTTTTTTCAATAATCGAAAGCATAGAACGACACAAAATAAAACTGACCCCCCCCCCCCCCCTCCCTCCAAAGTTCAAACTTGTCTAGAAGGAAAGGAGAAAAGTGTTGGAGGAAAGGGACACCTGTGTCGTTTAATATTTCTCTTTTCTATACTTATTTTGTGGCATTCTATGTTGTTGCTCAATGGAAGAAGTTCAGTTTTCATCCACGTCCTCGTTGTTTTATCATTTTATTTATCCGCATGGTGTAGTCGTACGATTTCAACATCTAGGGTAGCTTCGTTTGGATAGTGTCCTTTGTCATTTACAATATTCAGGGAAGTATCTAACGAAGAGTAACGTTTTGTGTTTAGAAGTTACGAGTCAGATCTGTTACTCTCAGTTACTCAGTAACTGAGTAACTGAGTCTCTTAGTTACTATAAAACAAAAGCTATCTAGATTTGAGCCTTATAGTACACACGTATCTATAGCTAATCACATGGAATGGTAGAAGAATCGAACGAATGACAAATGACGATCATAATAAGGTTACCTTTGAAAATACGATGTGCGCATGGACTATCTATCAGCAAGTGAATCATCATGCTCGTTTTCCAATCATATTCAGAGATTCAACATTTACTGCGATCATTCTATTGTTCGCGGTGATTGGCCGTCCCTTCATTTTACAGATAAACGAACTTTCATGGCGTTACGTTAAGTGTTGTTGCATATTGGCAGTTACTCGTACCTAAAAGTGAGCAAACCTGAAGACAACATTAAGGAACTGCTAGGTACAACATTCAGCAGAAAATCTGATGACAGGTGACACGCGTGAATGCGATTTCAGATATAGATGTCCTAACCCGCCTGGTTTTAATCTAAAAATTTATGAGTTAAAAAATGGAAATACCGATAGATAGCGGCGCCATAACTCACCGATACAATTCCTCGGCCCTCCAAAGAAAGGAATGTAGGCGTAATGATGTCTTCCGTTGTTTTCCTGGAATCTTTCAGGAACGAAGTTGTTCGGGTCTTTGTAGAAGTTCCGGTGTCTTTGCAGGAAGTAGATCAGCGTGATTACTATTGTTCCTCTGGGGATTAGCTGTTCGCCTGGTAATACGAGAAGAAATCATATTATGCATATTGATTTCTGAAGTATCCTGCTAACACATATGTGTGATCACACATACCAAGACAGAAGGTACTAGATTCTAAACAATTAGTTCCACTGGTGTCTGTTGTCACTGGCAGCTTATCAGGGAGTGACTTATTACGTTTGCGCTTCGTGATTTATTTTTGCACAATCTCATCGGCTTACGCCGTAGTCCTATTGGTTAAGGGATTATAATACGGCACTTGGTTCTCGCCCAAAGCGGCTATATAAAGCTTCCAGTGAATGTAGGCTTTACATTCACTTAAAAGAGCTGTTCAACAATTTCAGTGCTTTGCTTAAATAATTTGGGAGTTGGTGTCTCAACATTTCTGGAGTAAAAAAAAAAAGCTTCTTCCAGCATGCCCTACTTTTTATTTTAAACGTTGACAAAGATGGAGGTTTTCGGCCCCTCTCAATTCATTTACCATCTTCCGAGGGACGTGCACTGTGACGTGAATGGAGGACGCTCGGGGTTCCGGGGTAGCTATCTCTCCAGAGCCATCAGTGAGCCGCGAGAACTCACCCGCTCGCGACCACGAGACCATGTGCTTGCGCAGCGCAATCAACAAGGCGAGAGGAGGAAAGTCTCGTCGGGGTTCGGCCATCCATGTCCGGCTCTGCCCCCGTCCCCCTCCGACTTCTGGCGGCTGTTGGCGGTAGCAGATAGAGCTGACGGTTTTGTTGACGTTGGATAGATGGCGCCACTAAAACTCCGTATAATAAAACAATCGTTGATGATACCAAGTTTTTGACGAGTTTATATTTATGTTGGAAAAACGAGATTTATAAAAAAATTACCTTTTATATTTGCACAACTTCCTATCTTTCTAAAAGCCCCCCATTCACGTCGTGCCGCGTGGTTCTCATGGCCGACGCTCGCGGCTGCGGGTCGGGAAATATTCTAAGTTTTTCCTCGCGATTACGCGGCGGAATCGCAACATCTCTAAGGAAGGAGATATGTTTTCTATCCTTCGTAACAAGAAAAACAATGTCAAAAGAAGGAGATGCAAATATTTTTAAAGTTAAAATCGTTGCACAGCTCCTTTAACACTTGCCAATTTTCATGTCCTCTTCAATGTTACGTGCCACCAGCGGGACTGAAGGATACAGCCGCAATGTTTCCTGCAAAATATGCACAAAAACAGTTATTAATTAGGCGGCAGTAAAACTTCCCAATGTGCATAAGTATATAGCTTGTCGGGATGTTTGAAGTTTTTTTTTCTATTTATTACCTTAATCACGCAGTCCAAGTACGGCAGGTCCCTGAGGTCATCCAAAGTTACTGGGCGGTCAAAATCGTCTGCAAAAACCCTATCAAGTTCTTCGTGCAGCTTTTCTTGAACCTCCAGGTGATTTCCCAGAAGGTACAGGCAAAACGCTGCCGCCGTGGCGGTTGTATCGAATCCCTGCGGTGATGAGCAAAACATTGTGGAGTAGTCAGTAATCTATTTGAAGAAGGTATAAAGCAAAACGTTCTACCAATGTTCAGTTTCTGGTGCGAATGCGTCAATAGACTCGGCTTGCAAAGAATATGTTTCGGCAAAATAATTACGAGAGATGCATACATTTTTCGTTATACGATATTTCAGCGATGATATTAAAACTAATGTGTTTTTTGTTCCCTTTAAACTCACCTGATTTGATCTTTTTATTTGGTTATAACTTTTCATTACAGCTATAATGCCTATCAAGAAAGAAATCTGTAGCAGGGTTTCGAAGTCAGCCTTTGAATAGAACAGGGTCTCACTGATATGGCCATTCATAGGCCACTGGAAATATTTTTAAACACTGAATGACCGAGCTGTGGTATTTTCTTTAAAGAAAACTTTAATTTTGATATCTTAATTGCTGTGCTTAAAAAAAAATCATATTCTTTACACTCACCCCAGAAAGTCAAAATTTACAGGTAAACCGAGAAGCAAATTATTTAACTCAAAGTACACGAGTATGTATTTTTTTACCTTTAACCCAACATTTTTTTCCCTTAACCCGACATTTCATTATCCTTAACACCTCTTAATTCTTAACCCAACAGAGGCAGGTTATATATATATCAGGTGGGAATCAGTTAACAAGGGATGTGACAACAACTATAACAAAATTAAATAGCGCTCGCTCTAACCAAGCATAGATATTGTTTATATATCAAATTAATGACTCACAGCCCCCATTATTGTGACGCTTTCGTCTAAAATGTCACCCTCAGTAAGTGTTCCGTCTTGCATGTGCATTTGAAGAAGAATGTCCATAAACGACCTCGTGGAGTTCCTCTCGTAGCCCTTGTCCATCAGTTCTTCTTTGCGCGCCGTAATTATCTGGGATTCAACGCAAAAATAAAAAAAGTAAAAGTAAACACTTATTTTTTATATATTTATAGGATTTCATTAATGTTACCTCGTCAAAGACAATTCAGATTTAATATTTGACACGGCGAATTACATTCCAACTTCCATTGGTATTTACATTTGCGAGAACTATGAACCAGGTGTAAAATAGTCCACATATATGCAATATATGTGTTAGAGATTATTCAATTGAAAACAAAATTAAATAATGCACACCGCTGCAGGTGGTACAGTTACGCCAAAGGCGCATATTGACGCTGCACCTGGAAATACGAGATATTACTTGAATATATTTAAGTATAGGTCTTGTTAAGAAGACACCGCCGAGCCTAATTTGTATCCTGCTCTCTTAAAAATCGCTGCGCGTCTACTTACCCGCAAAACACTCGAAGAACCAATCTCTGTGATCTACGAAATCGGCTCAGCAGAATAGGCGGTAAAACATCTGCTCAGACCTCAAAATTAAGTGTGCGCTGTGGTATTACGCAATGCAAGCATGACGCTTTGCTTTGCGCAATGTCACAGCGCAGACTTCATTTTTAGGTCTAAACGAATGTTCCGCCTTATCATTCGCCAAGCTTATTTCGTAGATCTCAGAGTTTGGTTCTTTGAGTGTTCAGTGGGTAAGAAGACGTGTAGGCATTTTTTAGAGTGTTAGTTACAGTGATGGAACGGATGCAGTTTCTTTGAATTACCAAGGTCTAAAAATATTTAAACATATATATATATATATATTTATCAGTGGACGTAAGATTATTCAAATACAAAATTGCTTGAATGGATATTCGCTAAAATTCGACAAAGCCCCCAAGGAAAAAAAATCATGTTTGTTTTTATTGTGCCATTTTTAAATTAATTTTACAACAGTCGTCTTAGCTATCAGCAATCTGTCGAAGTGTGCACGATATAGCATTTTTTTAAATCGTTAGCAGTAAAAGAATGGAAAGAGTTTCCTGAAAATACAATACCTACCTGGCGGCAATAGTTTCTCAGTATCTGCGATATATTGTGGTAGTTCTTGCCCTCGCGGCTGAATTCGTAGAGGATGTCCCACCAGTAAACGACATTGCAAATCCGTGAAATAAATCCGTCGCAGATTCTGGAAAATGAAACGCCTTGTCACGTGGTCATTTCTGACAATATCTATAGGCGTCGTTATTTTATAATCATTACGAGTTACGTTCACACTAAAATATTAGTTTTTTTTTTAAATTCATGATAGTAACTATCATAAATTGCTAGGATAGTAAATATCCCGTTGATAAATTTCTTGGTATTCAACGCCGATCGTATAAGGAGGGGACCAAAAAAGGCAGCGAATCATTTATTTCTGTTAAACATATTTATATATTGTATTTAGTCGAGTAGCAACCTTACTAATAATGAACAAGGCCCTTGCTTCGACTTTCCCACAGAACACATATACAGCGAATCATTGTGTTGCCCATAAATAACATAGCGAATAACCAGGACTAGAACACTATTCTCCATACAAATGCAAACTTCACAGATGGTATCTTTGCACGAAGACGTTATCTCTGTCCTGTAAACAGCTGGAATCATGCTGTCGATCGCAGTTATTGGCATTCTGCGTGCTCCGCGAAAAAGCGAACCACTAGGTTTCCTTCATAAACAGTGCGGCTATTACTCGAGTAAATACGTCTGCACAAGCCGCAAATTGTTTAGTTTTACGTTTCTTGAGGGAGCTTTGAAGAAGTGCCGAAACAGCCTGACTCTTTTACATATCGGCCGCTCCAAGTATGTTTATGGGAGGTGTCGGCACACGTTTCCTCGGACCTCGTGGTTGTTTCAGGGAACTCTTCGATGCATCGTTTATCTTCTTGATAGGGGAAAGGGATTAAATGCGTACGATTTCTTCGAATCCCTTGACCCTCGGACGTTATCCAGTAACATCGTGGCGTATGGACCTTGTTCTGAACAACTCCGGTTCGCTTTAGGTCGATGACCTAAACTCGCTCTCCAGAGTCGAGTGGATCTAGTTGACGGGGTCCATATCACAAGAGCGAATGACATTTTAGCGAACGGCGACATTTGAGCGAATGGCCGTTTTAGCAAATAACGGGGGCGCGCGTTAACCCATCTGTCGCGCTGCGCTTTACGCCGCTTCGCGGCGACAGTCTACGGCAACTCATTACAAAAATATGAACTCACTTGGCCCACCCGAAAACGCCGCTTCGCGGCGTCCGACTATTCGCTGAAGTGTCGTTCGATGAAACGTGGGCGTTCGCTAAAACGTAATTCGATCAAGTGGGTGCCTCCCCTAGTTGACGCACTCCGTGTCGCCGGTCTTTTTGGTTGGGTAGCTTTGGTTCAAGGAGCTGAGTTGTGATCGGTACGGTTGTATGCATCCTTCTCGCCATGAGAATTTCTGTCGGGCTGTATCCGTTGGGCAGAGGCGTTGAACGGTAGATCATGAGTGTCTCGTACAGATCTTTCGTTTTGCTGAGTGATCTCTTTATGACCTTCACCGCAGCTTCCGCCATGCTATCGCTTTGTGCGTCGGCAAGGCTTCATGTGATGTGCTTATATCCATAGGTCTGTAAGAACTATGTGAATGCTGAACCTGTGGTTCCCGCAAACTGAGGACCATTATCAGACAGCACAACTTCTGGGATGCCATGCCTCGCAAATATCGATTTGCAGTGCATTATTACGCACGCTGCTGTGAGGCTTTCCAGTCGGGCGATTTCGGGGTAGCGAGAGTAGTAGTCGACGACCACCAGCCACCATTTTTCGTGAATGAAGAAGGGTCCATCGCCACTCTCTCCCACGGTCGACTAAGAAGCTCTGACGGGATGAGGGGAAACTTTCGGTTCTGGCCGGTTTTAATGCACTTTTCGCAGTTCTTGACCAGTCGCTTGATATGATCGTTTATCCTCGGCCACCACACCGATGCATTTGCCCGTGCCTTGCATTTTTCTATTCCCATGTGCCCTTCATGAAGTTGTTGCAGGGTATGTGGACGGCAGGATACTGGTTCTACTAATCTAGAACTATTCATGAGAAGGCTCTTTTGCACGGCAATGTGATGGCGGTACTCGTAGTACTCTTTGAGGTCTCTTCTGAGATCTCGACGATTTGGCCAACCTTTATGGCTGTAGCTGGCGAGTCTTTGGCAAACATGGTCATTTTTCTGTTTTTCCGCTAGCCATTGGAGAGTCGTTTGCGTTGCGGATAGGGACGTCTCTGTGTGTCGAATGAAGCAATCGATTTCTTCTTGATTCTTTTTTTCTTGCCGCTGTGGAAGAGGGCTTCTTGACAACGAGTCAGCTGATTGGAGTTCCTTTCCCGAAACGTGGACAACTTTGAATGAGTAGCGTATTAGACGTATGCGCAGTCTCTGAAGACGTGGAGTTAGGTCGTCCAATGACTTTGATCCGAGCAGGGCAATGAGAGGTTTGTGGTCGGTTTCCAGTACAAAGAGCGTTCCCACGATGTAATCTCGGAATTTTTCGCATGTCCACGTGAGTGCCAAACCTTCTTTTTCGATTTGGGCGTACCTCTTCTCTGTTTCGGTGAGTGTTCTGGACGCATAGCCGATGACGCGATATGTTCCATCCCCCTGCTCTTGACGCAGCACTGCTCCCAGGCCGTAGGATGACGCATCGGCCGATATAATCGGTCGTTTGTTGGCGTGTAAATTCCGAGAATGGGGCAGGTTGAGAGGATCTCCTTTCACTTTGTGAAGGCTCTCTGCTGAGGATGATTCCACACGAAGTCCACTTTGAAACTGAGCAGTGACGATAATGGATGCAGTAGGTGAGACAGGTGTGGCACGAATCGTCCTATGTATGTCGCCATACCCATGACGCGCTTGACTTCTTGCTTTGAAGTCGGTATGGGAATCTGTTTCACTGCTTTGACGATCGTCTCGTCTGGACGGACACCATCGCTTTCTACTTGATGACCTAAGAACTTCATACTTGTCACTCGAAAGACGCATTTATCCTCGTTGAGCGTGAGTCCTGCTGGTGTGAGTCGCCTGAGGACTTCTCGCAGACGTTGCCGGTGCTGCTCGGACGATGACGTCCGTAACAATACATCGTCAATGTGGCAAAGTACTCCTTCTATTCATTGAAGAAGTTGTGTAATACGTCTCTGGAAGTGTTCCGGAACTGACGTGATTCCGAATGGTAGGCAATTAGAACAAAATCTTCCAAACGGAGTCATCAATGTCGTCAGGAGTTAAGACTTCTCTTCTAACGGGATCTGCCAGAACCCCGAATTCGCGTCCAGCTTTGAGAAGATCTTGGCTCCCGCTAGCCTTCCCAGCGTGTGCTCCACTGGTGGAATGGGGTGATATTCGCAATGAATGTGTTTGTTCAGTTGTATGAGATCAATACAAATGCGAATTTTGCCAGACAGTTAGGGAATGATGACCATCGGCGCGCACCATTCAGCAGGTTCTCCTACTGGAGAGATGACACCATGTGACTGCATGTTTTCTAGCTCTTTCTGCGTTTCACGATACAGCGAAAGCGGTTTTCTTCTCAGTGATACGATAGCAAACGGCGTCGCGTTAGGTTTCAGCCTGAGAACGTGAGCATCTTCGAGAGAACCCAGTCCTTTAATTACATGTGAGAGAACTCTTTATTCGGTTCGCAAGCTTTGTTTGCAGTCATGCAGATTTGAGGGCCAAGCCGAGACGTTACGATAGCTGGCTTACCCAACAGAGGTTCGGGAAGTCCTTTCACGATGTAAACTTCTTCGAGTTCTTGTTACCCACGGCAGTTGAGCTTCATCTAAGCTGATCCCATGACCTTGAGGGGTCGTCCGTCTGGACCATAAAGTCGGCGTTGAGGCTCGGAGAGCTTGCGGCACTTTGCGAAGACCTTTTGAAAGATGGCACCTGGCAACACCGTTTCATCTGCTCCAGTGTCTATTCGGAAAACAACAAGAGCTTTGTCGACAAATATTTCGATGTCCCATTTTGCTGTTTGAGGAGAAGCTGCAGCTCCTATGAATCCTTGTTCGTGTACGAGTGAGTTCATGGTAGTTGAATATTTGCAGAGGGTTGCAAAATGTCCTTTTTTATTACACCTGTTTCAGTCTGTGTTCTTCGCCGGACACACGGACAAACTCTCCTCGGGTGAGCTTCTCGACCAGACCAACAGCATGGTTTGTCTTGATTTGTGTGCCGCAATCTTCTTAGTAGGAGTTCGGGCATTTGAACGTTCCGCTCCTCGCTGAGCAGGTCCTGATGCTGTCCCATTTTTGGCTGCTATACGGTCAACGTTGGCATCCTTTTCTTTTGTCGGTCGGAGTTCCACTTGTTGCTTCTTAGTCACTTTCGATTGTCACGAAGCAGCAATGGCCCTCTGCAGGTCCAGATCAGGATCCAGTTGAAGTTTTTCCGAAGTCCTGCTGTCCCGAAGACCAACAATCAGCCTGTCGCGAATCAATTCTTCCTTCAGTGGTCCATAGTTGCACGTTGTAGCTAGTCCATGGAGAGCAATGACGTATCCCTCGACTGTTTCCGTCTCCGGTTGCAATCTTGTGTTGAACATGGCTCTCTCATACACCAAGTTTCGACGGGGTATGAAGTAACGTTCGAAGTTCTCCATCACCTTGTCGAGGTCTTGGGCCTCGGTGTCGGACAGGTTGAAAGTCTGTAAGACGTCTTGAGCTTGTGGTCCCATGATGTAAATGAGAGCGTCGACTTGGTGTGATGATGGTTGAGATGCCAGTCCTGATGCACTGTGGAAGCGCTTGAACCTCTTCTTCCACACCGGCCGGTCGTTAGGTGTTGTAAAACTGAAGGCTTCGGGTGGCGAGATGCAAAAGGTTGCCGTTACCGATTGTTGCGCAGCACCGTTGTTGGCAGACGTTGAGGGCTTGTCCATTGTTCCTTCGTTTCTAGTCGATCCTGCGTTTTACTAATTATTAGTAGACTCGCGGAGCGATTCCACTCCTGACACCATGTTTCGTTTTACGTTCTTTGGCGAAGAGAACACACAAACAACCTTTCGTGCCGGAACCAGGCTGAAGACTGAGGCCTTGTTTATAATAGATAAAATGAAATAAAAGAAAGACGCCTCTGGTACGGGTGCTCCGGTTACGCGCGAAGCGGGGGAACGGCTGTTTAAACTGTTTATATGTCGGGTTGCGCGCGAACAGCGGTTATCGGTCGCTCTGGACTTTGGAGCTCGCGAGCGTCGGCCCATCGTCGACTCCATAACACAAATAGCATATTAAAATCTTGTGGACACTACAATTGACCCATGTAATAATCTATGGGGACTTCAGGAAAGTCGTCGATAGGAATATAAACCCTTCATTAGACATCCACAGGTAATTTATTCACTATAATATAAATATGTCGGTAGGTACCTAAATCAGATACTAGTAAAAAATTGAAGACGTTTACAAATCCATCTCACGAGAAATTCGAACGCAGCTCTTGAGGACGCAGCCTCCTCCGCCGTACCCTCCCCTCCTCCCCTCCTCCCCTCGTCCTCCCGTCCTCCTCTGCTCCTCGTACTTCCCCAACTTTCCTCCTTTTCCTCCTCTCTTCTCCTCCACCTCGCTCTACCTATTTTCCTCCTCTCCCCTTTTCCCCCTCCCTTGTTCCTCCTACTCCCCCATCTCTCCCCTCCTCCTCTTCCCTCCTCCTTCGCACGTGACGTGAATTTTACCGCTAAATCAAGCGGAGAAACTGAATTTGTTGATAGGTGACGTCACACCAAGTCATGCGACATCATTTTCCCCGCTAAGTTTAGGGGGGAGACTGAATAGGTGCTGAGGTCACGTGACATTACTTATCCCGCTGAATTAAGTGGGGAATTGAATTGCTGTTGAGGTCACGTGACGTCAATTTTGCAGCTAATTCTAGCGGAGAAACTGAATTTTTTCATAGGTGACGTGACACCCAGTCATGTTCACTGAGTCATGTGACGTCATTTTCCTCGCCAAATTTACCGAGGAAACTAGATTGGTGTTGATGACACGTGACGTCAATTTTTTCATTAAATTTAGAGTGGTTACTCCGACGCCGACGCCGTGAAACCTGGCGACGGGCGCCTAAAAGCTCCGCTATAAAACAAGGCATGCGCCTAATCATGCAGATAGATGTTTATGCAGTGAATTGAAAGGTTAAAAAAATAGACAAGATGCTGCTGGTACTTACATTTGCATTCGTCTTATGTGCCCTTTCTTTTCAAACTCCTCGTCTTCTATGTCAGAGATTCCAAACACCGTTTCTGATTAAGATAAAAACAACTTGGTGAAATATCCAATGTCCTCATCCCAAATTCATTGGCTCACATAGCGTGTCTTTACTGGAATATATGTCTTACAGTCAACCAAATTATTTCTTATGAAATTTACGGAACACTAACTACTAAACGCCCTTTAATTAAAATACAATACATAATTATTCCTAAAGAACATCTGAACAGAACTCGAATATCCACGTTTCAAAGCAAATATTAGTCCCCACGTAATGGCGGCCTATTTCTCGATGATCTAAATGAAATATGACGTACAGTCTATCCCTGTAAGAACGAATTCATTAATCTTATAATACAATCATGTCTCGTTAATATGGACACCATTAATGAAGACATCCCACTACTGGACACCATTTTCGGGAACAAACTGGGAAAATACATGCATTTTTGTCTGGTCATTATGGACAACTCACGTTATTTACGATTCTTTTACGGGAACTGATGGGTCCATTATAACGAGACATAACTGTATCACATAAGGAAAAAAATACAGAGTGCGTAATTTGCTTAGTGACTTTGAGAGTAAACAGTACCCCTCATGCGACCAATCCCTCCGCGCCCCCGGTGGTTCGTACTTCTCGTTCTAGTAATTGTGGTCTTCAAATCATCAAATTAACCCCCCAAGGCTACTTAAAAATTTGACCTTATCCAACATAAATAAAACGATATTTTCATCAAAATTATTGATATCTTATTCTTGTGTCACCAATGATACTATTGGCAGAGGTTGTTTACTAGTTAGATTTACTGTCCTGCTATTATCCAATGTATATTTTTTGTGGTTGCTCAAAAAATTGAAGTTTTTATATTTTGTGTGTGTTACGGCTATTGCTGGACCACAATACTGAGAACCATTGAGGTTCTCATTATTTGGCAAACTGTTCTTACAGTATTTTTTTCTCTAGTCTTAACCGTTTTGTTACTGGCAAAACAAAAATTATTATTAGTAAGTTGCTCTCGCAGGTAATATTCACGCGTTTTGTGGTTCCAAATAAAGCCATTAAAATAAAAGGAAATGGGTTTATTTAGAAGGTTAACCGAACTGAACTATGCTAGGTTGCTACTTCGTGCGGGAAGAAAAATAGAGATTACGAGAGAACAGAGATGTATAGAAAGGAAATCAAAATCAAAATCGAAGACAGCAAATGTAATAAACATATGAAATGAAATAAGGGTCACTCATAAAATAAGTGTAATAGAAATATAGTGAAAACAAACGCGACCTAAAACGAAACAAAGAAGAGAATCGACGCTTCGCCGAACAACGACAATCGAGCAGAAAATGTGCCCTTCAGCACGCAGCCACCCATTCTCTACCATGCTTCATGCGGCCGACTGTGTGATGTGGAAAGATGGATGATGTCAAACTTCAGGTGGCCGCAATTGCAATGCACCAACGAAGCCGCAATGCGCGATCTACCAAATTGGCGTAGATATAAGTAGCTATAACCTAGAGGGCATATGAAAAGAATATTGAATAATCTTCTGAGAGGATGAAACAAGGGAAGCCCAAACTCGTGCTATTATTGAATTTCATGATACAGACTATAGTGACTAGTTTGGGTTTGAGGCCTTTGACTTGAGAAGAGCAAGTAAGATATCGCTCGGTTACTATTCCTAAAAATGTGTATTTAGTAAATGTTGGGAATCAAATAGCTGAGATGTCGATAGGCCGTATTGTTCGTAAATAGTTTTTGAAGAAATGAGCTAGCAACAAATTCCTGTCAAAAAATGGGAAAAAGCATCTTACCCATCAGAACACCAAATGTCGCGGCCCTCACCGGGGCCATAATATTGAAGTACCCGGACGCAGAATCATTAATGACATCAAGTTTCCTTGCGAAATTTTCCAGTCTTCGACTCATAATGGGAACATAGGAGTCCAGGTTCCGAGCATGGAAGGCTGGGTTGATCGTCTTTCTTCTTGGTTTCCACACGTTCTTGTCGCTGGAGTCAAAATATCAGAGCAGCAATATGCGCATATCTTTCTTTAAAGGATGATGGCTGACAAAAATTACTTGCCGGAAGTTTGTTACTCTCGATGGCACATAAATTACTGTGGTTAGCCATGACCAAACAACCCGTAATTGAATGACTTGAGTTAGCTTACGAATACTCCCGTGGAGAAAGGAAGCTGCATTATGCCATGGTATGTAAGAAAACGCACGACTCTCGTTGCACGTACTGTCCGCGCGACGAACTAAGAAAAGCTTCTAAACAAACTTTAAGCGACAAATCGGAACTCTAACCAAAGGTTAGAGTCCCGATGTTTAGTATCCCGACGTTTCTGGACAAGTTCGGTCCCTTGTTCAAGGATGAGTAAGCCACACATAGCTTAGCACACGCTACGCATTTAGATTCTCCTTATTTAATTCCTAGAAATATACGTACATTTTTTTACTTAAAAATCTACTGTTTCTGACGAAGTTTCTACTCTGTATGCGTGGCTCTTTTATCTTTTAACCTATGATATATATTTCATCCTTGCAATAATAATTTACGCCAAGTTTGATCAATAAAGTAATATTTCACTGTTCCAATTGCCTACTTTAAGAACAAACATAACAATAGCGCCAGTTAACAGTGCAGTATCTTTCTCTTAATAGCGATAATACTACAACAGTATTTTACCTGACTATCAGACCGGTTCCCATTACGGGCTCCATGAAGTGGTAAGGAAATGGCTTGCTGATGTTGTTGCTGCTATTCACCAGACCCTGGAGGAAAGAAAAACAATGAAATTCAAACCACACGCGCAGAGCTGTGGCGTTCAGAAAATTTAAGCCATCCTGAACCGTTCGTTTATGCCTGGTGTTTCATGGGGACTTTCAAAAATTCTTATGCATAAGATGGTTGAAGAAAAAGAAAATCTTTTGGGAACAAACTACAAACCACGGTGGGCGTAAATGATTGAGAAAAAAAAAACATGCTTATAAGCTTAATAATTAACTAAATATACTATGAACGTTTTCATTCGTGAAGATCAACATAGGGTTCCCAATAAGCACCTCCATGAGCATCATCAAAAACCACTAAAAAACGCATCCTTAAAAAAAAATGCATATATATGCTATATGTGTGGTTTCACCTCAAATCCGGCAGGCTAAAAAGGTCTAATTTTTAATTTTTACGAAAACAAAATGTATGTTTTGGGGTCATTTCTGAAATGAAGGAGCGCGAAACCGCATGTTGCCCAGATTTTTCATTCTGGAGTTACGAAGCGTAGAAGCCGTAGTGGCAGTAAATAATATTTTTGCCTGCTGTCGCAGGTCGCGTGTTTAACACCCTCTGATGCCACTACTGTTTTTGCTGCATTATCTTAACCTTCTCTCCTCATTTAATAGGTACTGTAAATCTACCCTTATGCATTCAAACAGTTTTAGAAATTTGAGTTTTTTTGTGTTTTTTTTAAATGTCAGACTCGGCGTTCAGGTCAATTTTTGGTCAACTTTGACAGGTCGTTACTTTGTCTGTACTTAAGGGAAATTGTTGTTCGTTAGCTCTATAGAAAGCCCAAAGTATGCCCATTATAGATACTGTAATACCAATATCATATGTCGAATAGCAGCTCCGCCACCATCACGTAAACATTGTGACAAATAACAAATGTTGAAAGTTTGAAATCAATTTTCTCAAAAACCTCATTTTTGTAAATTTTTATTTTTTACATTCTTTTGGACAAGAAGAGACTACAAGAAAAAACAATCTAGGAATGTAATATCTTAGTTTTAAGTCCTCTATCTGAGCCGCGATCGTGTGGATCATGTGCTCATTTCACTGAGATAAACAGAAACCTTACCGGCATTGTTTGCCTCTACGATTTCGAAAATATATTTTTATTTTTGTTTACGTTTTTGAAAAAGACCCCTTCGTAAGACAGCTTCTTTCTAGAATGTGAAGTTTATTTGAAGAGGAATGACACATCGCTGGCTAAGCTAGGACTCAAGCACGAAGACGTACGGGAGCATGACTTGTAAAAGTGCGGTTGTCAGTTGGTATAAAAAAAAAATGGATATTACGTTTTTTTGTTTTTTTTTTAACAAGTTTCAGAAGTGGCTAAAAAAAAATACATTCTTCACGTCTTCATCAGACGCGCCCAGCGAAGTGCCACATGGCTCGAGAAAGCGCATGTTAAGTCGTGTGCTATCATCTTGCACTTCGATTTTGCTGAAAGCTGGAGTGTCGTGATCCAGCGCTCGGAGCAAGGACATCACTGGAAGAGCAAGATGGTTTCCATTTTTACCTACATGGCTACGACTGAACAGGAAAGTTTAATTTTCGGCGTAGTCAGCGACGCCATCGTCCACAACGTAACCCTCGCGCTCTTTACGCCCAACGTTGTCGATGGCCGGCTGGAGGAAGTATTGCCTATTTTCACGCAACTCATTTATAATTCTGACGTTTCCCTCCAAAATCAGACCCCAGGTGTTGGAATTCAAGAAAAATAATATCGTTTTCCAAGTGAATATTCTCTCCATCAGGACACGGGAAAAGCTCATATGATGGAGTGGGCGGCGTGCTCAAGCACCAGGCATCCATGCATAGACCTTTTTCACAAGGGTGCAGCCATCTTGAAATATCGTTACTTGCAGCATTAGCGGCGAGATGTTTTGGTGGCGCCCTCCTATGGTTCCCCCTTGTGACGTCATTACCTTGCGAACAACAAGTTCGATGGTGTTTGTAAATAGCATGGCGGAAGCCTCAAATCATTGCGCTCTCAAAGCAACACTGCCAACACCGCCGAAATTAAAGTTCTTCCATTCCTCTTATTTCCGTCGATGGTATACCCTTCGCGCTTATCGCCAATGGTCGAAAACATTGTTTTGCCGTCGCCACGCCAATAGAATGTGTTTAGGAGATAAGCGTAACCGTCACCCATTCTCGTTTTGTCTCCCCTGTATTTTTTTACTATTTGCAGGTTTTAATAGTTTGTCGTCGCCCATACCGGATATGTCTGCTTGGCGGTCGGGGGCGAGAGTAAGCAGAAAAGGTATATAGCTTGACAACTACAGTAATGCAATCCTTAACGGACGCGTAAAGCTTCGTTGAGGCAGTCAGACCGAAACTCTAAGGAATCGTTCTACTCTTAATTGCCAAAGAAAAGCTCACGCGTGTCCGGGAGCTAAAGAAAAAAAGAATGGGACAAGGTAAACCTGCCAAGAGTCATCCGATCCTCACATGTGTGGAGGAAGACACTGGAGGAAGGCGCCTTGAGCGTTGGCCTAGTAAAAACTTGCGAGATCCCAGAGCAGCTACATGTGCGTATCAAGGCATGCACGTAACGCTTCGTGTCCCGAAATTTAAAAGATCATTAGTGAGTGCGTGGCGGCATGTTCAATACAACAACCATGGACTGCGTGGTTCCTATACAGCGCGAAAACTGATTCACAATTCCGTCGAACTAGTAAAAAAGTGTACTGCCTTCAGAAAATGTGACATCGATGTTTTTTGTGTTTCTTACTGGTTCTGTGCGCGCGTTTCTTCATAAATGAGGTGCAAGAACTGTGCAGTACACCGTCAGTTAACTGCAAGATGTGAGAACAAAACCCGGTGCATGTTACCAAAAGGCTTATGTACAAGATTGTAATGGTGTGAGAATTTATCATTTAATTGTAATAGGCTGGATAATGAGTTGCCACCCTTTTTTGTAAAATTGAACCGTTCTATATAGAAACAATTTTTGACATGTTGCATGACCTTTTGATTTGTATATTCTTGTTACTCATTGTTTTGTAGTGTGCTTATCTGGCTTCTCGCTTAGTTAAAGTTTTAAATTTCAATAAATATCTCAAGTTCGCCTAATTTACGTTGCTTTTTAAAAACGTAAACAAAAATAAAAACGTATCTTTGAAATCGTAGAGGCGCACAATGCCGGTATGGTTCCTGTATTTTAGTCAAATTAGCACATATTTCACACGGTTGCGGCTAAAATAGAGAACATATAACCAAAATATTACATCTCTCGATTGTGTTTTCTTGTAGTCAACTATTATATCTGAAAGAATTAAAAAAAAAAAAAACATTTGCAAAAATGGGGTTTTTGAGAAAATCGATTTCAAAATTTTAACATTTGTTATTTCTCACAATGTTTACGTAAAGGTGGCGGAGCGGCTCTTCGACAGATCATAATGGTATTATTGTCTATAATGGGCATGTTTTGAACTTATTATAGAGTTAAAGAACAACAATTTCCCTTAAGTACAAAGTAAGGACCTGTCAAAATTGACCGAAAATCGACCTAAACATCAAGTCTGACTTTTTTTTTACAGAAAACTCAAATTTCTAAAACTGTTTGAATGCATCAAGGTATATTCATAGTACCCATTAAATGTGGAGAAAAAGTTAAGATGATCTAGAAAAAAGAGTAGCGGTATCAGAGGCTGTCAAACACGCGACCTGCGACGGCAGGCAAAAATACTAGTTTCTGCCATTGCGGCTTCTACGCTTCGTAACTCGAGAACAAAAAATCTGGGCACCTTGCGGTAGGCGCCCTCCTTCATTTCAGAAATGCCCCCAAAATATACATTTTTTTAGTCAAAATTAAAAATCAGGCCCTTTTAGCCTGACCCATTTCAGATGACAGTGCCTGCTACCCCTCCTCCCCTCCTCCCTCCTGCTCCTCCCCGCTTTTCCCTCCACCTCCTCCTTCCCGGGGTCACGTTACCTCGGGGGGGGGGGTCACGTGACCAGGGGGGTCACGTGACCTTGCGGCTACGCCGACGCCGCTCAAGCCGGAAATGGGCCCCTAAGAGCTGCGCTTTAAAATACGCTGAATTGTAGTCGCGTTAATATGTTTCAGTTTTCTGTTGAAGCGGATCTTTGCAAGAGCGGCCCTGCGTTGGGA